TGATTTTACGCCTCTCGTTTTCATCTTCTTCTTCTTTTTTTATTTTTTATTTTCTGTCCCACTCACTGACACCAATTTGTTACGCCTCCGTTCGTTAGTTAATTTTCCGTAACTTCGTTCCAATGAAACTTTAGCGACACAAGTCCTTTCTTAAATAAAACTGGTTTATTTTTTCTGAATATAACATTGTGATACACTTAATTTCAACAGTCGCGCTATAACAAACGCTATAACAACGAACGTCTCACGTGCTCAACTTCAACAATACTCTCTGATTGCAGTTCAATTACTCATTACCTACACATTGTCCCGTCACGTCGTGACCATCTTATATATACCAGGCTACCCCCAATCTAGTAATCTCCCGACAATTCACGAAGGTTCGAGAAGGAAGTGGCGTAATACTAGTCACGTGACCTCGCTGACGCAACAGTATTATATAATCTAGTTCATTATGCTATTCTCTCTTAGCCTGACAGGAGAGATTTAATATATAACAATTCAGTCAAGTAAGTCTTTATCTCCAGTAGAAGAACTGTCTATCATCAAATGCACTTGTTTGCCTTTAATTGTGTTTCTTAATAAAGATTTCTTTGACTTTCTATTTACATTATGTTTAGTCTCCTTCTTCAATCAGAAATTTTTTTATTGAATTCGGTTAAACCTTGCTGGGTCGTTTGAAGTTACTGGTGTCATTTGAAGTTACTATAAGAAAGATAAATCACTACATCTGAGAATATTACACTATTTTGTTTTCATTGGTTTACAAATTACAAATTCTGATATATATATATATATACTTAACTTACTTTTGAATAGAAATTATTGATGATTCCCTTTGATATTACCAAGTGTAATACAGAACAAGTTCAAAATTTCAAAGTTTTTTTTTTTCTAATTGGATTGATGAGTAAATATATATGTTCTCTATTCGTCACACAAATAATGGAATATAAAAATATTTATAAATATTGCACCCTCTCCTGTACTTTGGCGAATGCTCTAGCATTTACTAGATATAGGGTAGCTGGTATATAAAAGAGGGTGACAACGTGACGGTAAGGTATTGT